AATGGATCTCATTACTTGGGCGTAGATGAGCACCTAAATAATTAGGTAATGTTCGCTTCACAATTTTATCAATAAATAGCATTGTAGTTAAATAAAGATGCTGATTCACCGATAACCACGGTAGAGTATCCAGCATATATTCAATTCTTGTGTACCTAGAGCACTGTAAAATTATCCGCATTCCCCTATTTTGAAGTTTTTGTAGGGTGCTTATTTTGTTCTTGCTAAAGAAATATAATCAATATGAACAGTACAGTTTTATTATTGTATTGTAAAACGTAATTCTTGCAAACATTGATACCTGTTTAGAAACTCTTGAAAAAAAATAAAGTTTCTTTGAAACTTTCTTAATAATATAGTCACTATGGCTGTTAAAGTTTAGGCTTTTATCCTACGTAAAGCCAAGGTATTTCACTGTATCAACCATATCAAGAACTGTCTTTTCAATTTTAATTTGGATATTAGCTTTTATTATATTCTTGTTTTTACTTCTGCTTGATATTATTACCATTGCTTCTTATTTTTGAGTGTTCAACCTCAATTTGTTCATTTTTAGATATGTATCAATATTTTCAAGGTCACGGTTCACAATATCGATAGCCTCATTCAAGGTTTTTGCAGGCTGAGTACACAAGTGTGTCATCGGCAAATAGATTTATGGAGCTACTTCTCTGAACAAGTTCCATATCATTCAAATATATTGTAAAAAATAATGGCCCCAAAACACTACCCTGAGAAACTCCAAAACGTACAGAAATGGTTTCGCAGATAGAAGAACCAATCTTAGTCCTTTGACCTGTGTCACTCAAGTAACTAGTTATCCATCTCAGGACAGTGCCTCCAATACCACATTGTTTTAATTTATCTATCAATATCCGTCTATCTATTGTTTCAAATGCTCTTTTGAAATCAAGGAAGACTGCAATTACATAGCTATTGTCATCAATAAGTTTTATCCATTCAGTTTCTGTACTTTGAACAGCAGTTTCACAAGAGTGACCTTTTCTGAAGCCCGATTGCTTAGACATGAGAAGATTATTGGTTTCAAAATATTTAACAATTTGTTTATGGGAACATGTTTCCAAAAGTTTTTCAAGAGGTGGCAAAGTATTTATAGGTCTAAAATCAGATGCTTCTATGGAATTTGTTACTTTAGGGATGGGCGTAACTGTGCTCCATAAGCTAGTGAAGTGATGATAAAATTGGTGCTTTACGAACTGCTTCGTTATGTTTGTTTCTGAACTCGACATCAATGTGGTTTTGTACAAAAAGTTCCGTAGCCTTAATCTTCTGACGACGAGCAGAGTCGCACGATGTGTTGTACTAGCCGTAGGAGTCAGGTTTAGCTACTTTCACTGTATGTATTCCTCCATCCCAACGTGGATAATTTCAGTTATTGGCAAAAATACAGCCATTTTCGCGGCCAGTGAGAGACGGAGACTCAGGTAATTGCGACGTGCTAGTCGTGCGACATGCTGTAGACCATCTCCAATCCTGGCACATGTGCCCTCACTTTTGTAGCGACAAAATGTTGTTAAAGCGTCTGTGTCTGCATTTTCTTTAAGTGAAAACGTACCTTCATAAACACATTCACAGATATCTTTAATTCAGTATTCAGTCACAACAACATTGTCTCCTGTCCTGATGGGAAACACCATCTACCTCCATAAACTGAAACAATGGAACACAATGCGCACACACATAGAAAATGTAGGAACCGAACACATTTTATCCCCGAATACAAAGGCACATAAAAAACAAAGTAAACGCAATCAATTCCGAGAGCCGTAAGTTCTCCTCAGGCGAGGAGGAAGTACTCCATTTCATTAGAAAGGGTCGATCGTGAGTAACAATGATTCTTTCCAGGACCTAGAGGTATTCTATAAAATTTGATTAACGTAAAAGCGCAATTTCTTTCTTTAATGGGTCACATGAGTCGATAGGCTATAGCGAATCTATTTCAAGTAACTTTGTTGTCTTCAGATAAAGCCATGCATTTTATTGCTAGAGTAAAGTGCTCTGGTGGTATGGTTTCAAGAAGCGGTTCTTCTGGAAGTAAGACTTTTGGGAGATTGACATCTATTTTATTATCTCTTTCCAGACTTATACTTCGTGACCTTGTATCCCTATGAAATAATGGGGCCCAAAGCAAGCTTTTCTACGATTTGGTATCTCGAATGCGAACATCATGAATTTGTCAGTTTTCTGCTTAGATCAAAAAACTTACATTTCTCTAGTCTTAGGGCCGATTTCACCAACATTAATATTATGGACCAATAGGAAAATACCTTATCGAAATGCAATTTGACCGAAGCTGTCAGAGGTCTCAGAATATCAGTGATTTCTATTAAAATGTTGAATAAAATCGTGAAAATTCGACTGTATTATAAACAAGACCACTTTTTGATTCCAACATGATGCTTTTGTACAGAGAAAACAGGGCAACTTTCATGTATTTTGATTTATGTTATAGGTGTAAATTTGAACATCCGTTATCCCCTCAGCGAATGGGAAAGGGAGAAATAATAGGTCGATTTTCTAGCTGTTAAATTTGGCAGCAGGTTTGGTCGTTTCTTAATTCATGGCAATCTCGAAATTTGTTAAGTTCAATATACTGTGTGTATATGTGATCATCATAGCTACACATACCTGTTGAATTGTGCGGATTTGCAATAAAATAGAATATAAAATGTATTCCAGCCAATTCCTCATCTCTCTTTAGATCATAATAGTAATCATTTGTTATAAATTCATGGGTTAATGAATTTCTTCAAAGCAATCAAAACAGTATGGTCGTCCCCATCCTGAAACACCGATATGTGTAAAACATGTTAATCCCTACATCTCCAAGGTGCATAATACAATTACTGTAAACATAGACCTAAAATTATTAGTAATTACTGCAAAATAAGAGCTAAAAAGAATTATAAATGGTGATAAAATATTGGTGGTTAAGGTTTTTGACTGGTGACTGGTGGGGATACAATATAGGGATGGCGACGATAGACGATACATTGATGTATCGAAAACATAGATACATCGGGCGTAGAACATCGATCTTTACGCATCGATGGTTTCATGACGATATATCGATATCGAGAGGAATCAAAAACATCCGTAACCGTATACCCCGAGTCTATCCTTAACTGTGCTACCATCTCTATGCGAGGACTGTTAGCTTCGAAATTGAAAGGCCAGAAAGCTATTTAGGTGTTTAGTAGTATTTGAATATTATCATTACAGACGAGCACTGAGCCACTGAGTGGCCACTGAGCACTGTAGTCTTTTCTTCATTCTATACTTCCCCAAGGGATAGAATAAAATAGACTGAAAACAGCGCGTTTCATGATTTTCAGTTCTCAGAAAAAGATATTCCCCTGCCGGCCCTTGACATCGTTTCAAAATATGAAATTCTGGAAACGCTATAAAAATAAAAATGAATACACAAAGCCTACTTACCTATTTCAGACAAAAACAAAAACAACTGCCACATAACGATTGTCACTTTGACATCATTCTGCAATCTGTCAAAGTAGTGATGGGCGTGCCTGCTGCATGGTATACGGTATCGATATTCGGTAAAATATTTTTCTTTCTACCATGAATGCGTGGAAAAAACAAAATAAGGATAGATCTAAAATAAGGAGTTATTGAAGGCCTAAAATAGCCAGGCGCTAATAATTCCTGGCCGTATTTGAATATCTAAGCAGGCACAGTAAAACAAAAATAAGACTTAATTAATAAAGTTTATTTCGACAGTTGGCAGAGTTTGCTCCGCTGGGACGAAGTGTTGACGGATCCCACAGAATTATGTGTCACTTGTCGATATGGTTAGTTTTAAAATATCAGGAGATAATCAGCTGTTATTCAAATCAGTGTATATGTTTTGTGATTCAAATAACGTCTAATATAAATATAACCCAGAATATCTAATCAGTGAAAAAAGAAAAATATTGCAAATTTCTAGTTTTTCTGCAGCTTTTAGGTTTGCTGGTAGCTCTACGACATATATTTGGGTATTTTTTAATCGCTGTGGATATAGTGTGGATGTTTGTTAAGTTCTTGAACAACGAAAAATATTCAATTTTATGGATGTATGGATATTAACAAACCAGAATGGTTTTGTGGGAATATCAATCCAAGGTGCCATAATGGTTCTGATGAACGGCAAGTAAATTAATGAATGTTTGGAAACGAGCAATATCTATGAACTTTTTGGTAGAGCCAGTCATCAAGTAGGTGCTTAATTGCTATCTGCATGAGGTTTATAGGAAAAAACACCCAGTAGGTTATCTTGAATCAGTAAAATCGCATATCAATTGAAGAAAATGATATAAACATGAATAAAAAATCGACAATAGTAATTAAATCATGAATTTTATTCAACAATCAAACGTTTTTTAAATTTTGACTGAATTATATGAAATTTCTTAATATTCAAGAAGCTGATGATGTTTCAATGACAAGATGTCATCTCATACCTTGACAGTATTTTGTTTTCAACATTTCATAGCTATTGGTTGCTAAAATTTGTTGATTGGAACTTGAAGCTCATTCGCTATATTTGACGGGTTGTTACCCTATAGGTGGAAAATAACGGACTGTTGTTGGTGAAATTGGCCCTTAATTCGGCTTCGCGACAATTTACCGCTTTGAGATGGCGATACTCAAGATCATTGCTCCAAAATACCCCCGGTTCAGCTTATGGATATGGAAAGTTTGCATTAAGGAAACGTGAAGTGAGACTTTACAGTAGGTACCAATGAATAGCAGCTGTGCACTCTCCGCAGTGGCGGATTCTGGGTGCCAAATTATGTTAAAGCGCTTCCAAATTTAAAGAAGGTTCTAGGTGAAACTAAATTATTGAATCAATACACGATTTTGCGTATTTTTTGTGGTAACCGTTCGACGAAACTACTGACTCTACAAAACATCACAGAAGCAACATCAAATGTAACAGATCTAACGTGTCATAAATCTATTTTATTGTTTTATTACAGGATGAGTCGAAACGGTGATATTGTAAAAATGCGGCTATTGGTGCCGTTTTTTCAATATAGCCTCGTAGCCAATGATGAGCGCATTGTATACACCATTGTTTACGCGTATGTACTACCTATTGTATATGTCGTGATAGTTATATATATAATCTAAGCAGTAACAAATCATAGTTCAACATCTTTATTTACACTGCGTTCCGTCGTAATTTGCGTTAAGATTCTTGTTCCTTGTGAGAGCTTATTGAGGTTGGTGTGGGACGTGTTGAGCGAGGACTTTGGCTCTGGCTGCGATTACGGCTGTTACTAGCATTGTGGACTATTTTTTGGCTGCAAAACAAGTTCAAAAGCACCTTTCGATATACTTTCTGGTTTAATTTGTGCTTGTATTGGGCAAGAATAAATGCCTTAAAATAGCCCGTCGATCGCCGTATGTTACGATACTGGCGAAGTTTATCTTTTCTGAGGGATTTCATTGGACATCTAGCTGAATTGGAAAACTTGCGCTTTGCAGAATATTTCCTGCCGTCTCTGAATAGCATGAACCCTAGTTCATTGGTCTCTTTGTCGTTAGAGCGCTAAACCATATTGCTTTTCTAGTTGGTGCACGGTTAAGTACTGTTTTGAAGTTTGCGAGTGAACTTAACCTCACCCTCACTTAAGTTATTACATGCATTGCCTACACGATTGCGTATATTAAGGTGGATTCTTTAATTCACCGGTTGATTCCACCACTGATGGATGCCCTGCTTATGGTTGACACTGTTGACAGCTTTGTATGGTGATGGCAGCAACCGGTTGAATTAAAAGGACAGATGTCTGGTCCACCGCTGGCACCGGTTGCTCAACCGGTGAATTAAAAAATACACCATATTATACGAGTTGTCAACATTGTCTACGCATTGTATTCATCGAGACATATACCTACAATCAATGTATAAGCAAAAACGCCCGTCACTGACAGTAGCGGGAAAAATGCCGATTCCAAAGCGACATTTCCGAAACACCATTTCAAAATCTCCAAAGATGTTTACTTTTCGCAACCCACCTAAATCTTTTCAGCAAGAACTATCAAGAAATTGGACAAAATCGATTATGAGACCTACCTATAGCTCATGGGCAGCCGCAAAAACGGCTGAACCGACAACCGTCGTGACAGTCATAAGGAAATATCATCGTTAATGTACAGCCTTAATCTAATCTCATACCGGGCCGTTTGACATGCGATGTCATATAGAGGTTATGGTTATTGGCGCGGATAGGACGATAGCAATCAAGGAAATATCATCGGCCATCTCAATTCCAGCTCCTCAATATAATATCCTAGTCGATAGCCGACGATAACTGGAATATATGGATATTCGCATATGGGTGGAGGATGAGTATGTTGGATGTCATCATAGCTGTCTGCTGGATGATAGGTTCGTGTAAAGCAATTAGATGTATGTAAAGCGGGCCATGTACTTTCTTGATATTATTGGACTCGAGACCATTTGAAATTAATGCAACCAGGAGCCGTTTTTTTAAATCGGTGATAAGACTCGTGTATGAAAAGATAGCCAATGGCGGCTTATTAGGTGTAACACGTTACAGAGAGAGATAACATCGCGAAGTCCAGTTTGACATTTCGGACGTATGTCTACTTGAATGACATATACTGGGCGTTTCCATGGATGGTTCTGTAGTGAAATGATATATTAGAACTTCTGATTAGTTTGATGTACGCTTTGAGACACACTGAAGTACTAAAAAACGCTTCTGGATATTATGAAGTTATCGACGATGCATCAAGAACCTTCTTGAGGGGCGTATATTCCTTAGAAAGTATCTACGTGCAATGGAATCTTTCATGAACAAGATAATGCCATTTCAGAATGACGTAGCGGTTTGTGTATATATTCAAGTGGACTTAATTTATACTTCTAAAACTTTCTCGTGCAAACTGCTTTGACATTCCGTTAATATCGGTAGCATCTAAGTCTATGAACATGTCAAGCAACAAGCTTTTTTTAAACTGTAGACGTATAACTAGAATATTGAATAGTAACACACAATGATCAGTTAGTAGGTAAGGATATCCCTTTTAAAACCTGTAACAACTACGAGTAAGTACGCTCCAGTAATACCTACCTTATTCTTAGAAATATCTTTTTATACCTTTTTTTTCAAATAATGTTCAGACTTAGATACAGGTGTTACATTATAAAAGAGTTCAACCTTTGAGCTGCCCATTTGGATCTTTTTGAACCGACAAAATAACTACTCCGCATTTCACAAAGCTTTAAAGACTCTACATATTAGATGCTCAAATATGGCTGATATTCATCGATTAAAAGACCCAGATGCTATGAACAACTTTTGGCCCGTTTTTTTCGGTGAATGTTATCCTGAGATATTTACTTATTACAAAAATATTAGTTACCATACAAGACAGAAATTTAGTGTTAAACTTGTTAATATATATATATATATATATATACGTAATACATACTTTCAAATCTATCAAGTCTCATGCTCTGGGGATGACGAATTGAACCTGAAAATGACCAAGCTCTGTTTTCCGAAAGTCTACTTTTACGTCATACATATTATCAACTGGTGCTTAGAAAAACGTCTAAAGCCTGGAAACAGTTTATTGTTCTTCATTTCCCTAAAAATAGTCATCCGCAATTATTAAATGATTTATGCCCAATCAGCGTTCTACCCTTACCTTCAAAGATTTAGAAAAAAAATATATTATTATATTTTACCTCTAAAACAATCGGGTTTTAGAAACAGCCTCAATACTAGCGCTAATTTATTTAACGGACAACATCGTTAGAACTTGAGACAAGCAGTCAGCTACTGCATTAGTGCAAATAGATTTAAATCATTCTTCATTATTACCTAAATGCAGGTTTTATGGGTTTTGTGGAACTTCGCCCAAAATGATGTCCAATTAGTCATTAAAACGCACTCAAGGGGTCGCTGTTCAATCAGTGTCAAGAGGTGGACGTTCAGTAAGCTGTGACAGCCCTATAAATTCTGATGCACCCCAGAGACCTCTCCTGTTTCTCTTGTTTATTTCCGATCTGGATACATCGGTGAAGCATTGAAATGTGCATTTTTTGCTCATAATACCCAGGAGTTCAATGAAGATTTAAAGTGCATAGATAGACTACATAATTTACAGCTTAATCCTGTCAAATCAATTCTGATGGTTCTTGTCCCCAAAAAATAAGGCATAAAGTGAAAGAAAATTAGATAATATCTTTGGATGGTCAGAACGCAGCAACTGAGGGATCATGTAGAAATTTAAACGTACTTTTTGATGAGAACCTGAAACTTATTCACTACGTAAACAATCTAAGCAAAAGGTTCGGGGCAATCCTCAGATTGTTGTATGAAATTAAAGAGCTACTTGATTTTGAACTCAAGAGAATGTTGTGCGAGTATTTGCTCACATACTGCCTTTTAGTATATTTTCCTGTCTTGCACCGTGAAACCGTGAAAAAAAAAACAAAACAGCTGCTGCAGATTGAAACAGAATCTCAATAAGTTTGACCGAATCAGTGCTGCTTTCTCAGAACTAAGCCAATAACGCGCTTTCAACATACGTATACTCACAAGCTTTTTGATAGATGATGAAGTTAAGATGTATATATTGAGCCATGGAACGGGTGGCATAAGTTAACACTCTTTTGTGGCGCATTGTTTACATCTACATATGTTTCATCCTATTAGTATCTCATTTATGTCTGCATTTTATAACTTCTACTATGAACATTCCTTATTTTATCCAGTTAAACTTTCCTTTAAAAACCTTCAAACGTATGCTTATTTTTACCTGCCTGTTATTTTAATTGCTACACAAAAAGTTACCACCAGACACATTGTATATGTAAATTGTAATTTTGTCTGTTTTAAAAGGGTTAAGAGCCTATAGCCGAAATTGGTCCTAATAATGACTATTATATATTTATATATGTATAATTATAATTATTATTAAATATTCTCGTAGAATATTGTCAACATCTCCATGGGAGTATATCGTACAGAACCGCATCATTCACATAGAAAAATACTCCAAATGCGTGATACATGAAACAAATAGGTATTATCCACGAAGAGAAAAAATACCGGAGCAATGACTCTCGCGTCCATAATCAAATTACGTCATATGTGCAAAGATGTTAAATGTGGGTAGTTAATCAGGAATGGTTTCAAAAACTACCAAATCGTATACGTCTTTTGTCACGAACGATAACTATTTTCTGACAGTTCGAGTGAGATAGGAGTGAGATAATGTGGCCAATGACAAACATCTGTCACATGGGAGGGCCGCCGTTCTGTCACTTTGGCTATCGTTATACATTTTCTTGAGCTGTTTTAGTAGATATCTAAAAATAAGCCATTACCTAGTAATTCCAATGGCTCATTTGAATCTTACTACTTTTTATTGGTTGAAAATTATCACTAGAAGTTTTTGCAACTTGTACTCTTATCATATAAATATACTAAGTGACATATAAATCCGAACACCCAGTTTAAATGGTTTTATTTTAATAAAATTTTGTATAAGTACTTAATGAAGCATAATAAGTAAATGATAAACATTTCAAAATGATTGCACTGCTTTAAATCCCTTTGACCTTTAATAATGTGTGGATGCACCCTGATGTGCTACGCATTCTCCAACGCGCCTAGGCATGCTTCTGCAATGTCCTCCTGTGGTATCTCATTCCAGGCAACCACCAACTCCTCTCGAAGTGCTTCTAGAGTCTGAGGAGGACGTTGCAAATTGAGCAATCTCCTACCCATCATATCCCACAAGTTCTCAATTGGGGATAAGTCGGGAGATCTTGGTAGCCATGGTAACAATGTGACATCATTATGTTGAAAGAAGTCTATTGTGACTCTTGCAACATGTGGTCGGGCATTATCTTGTTGGAAAGTTGGATCTGCCAGGGTGTCAACATAGGGTAAAAGATGGGGTTCTAGAACTTCGTGGATATAACGCTGCGCGTTCCTGTTACCTCTGA